AAAAAAAAAAAATATATATATATATATATATATATATAATAATAATAATAATAAAATAAAAAATAATATTACAACTTAGCAACTTACAAATGAGGACAACAGAAGCAATTAAAAAATATATAATAAATAAAAAATAAACAGATAGAATAGAAAAAGAATAGAGCAAGCTTTTTTTTTAAAGAAAACAAGCAGTTAGTAAATGAATAGAGTGCAAGTCTAAAAGTAGCATGTTTTTTTTTTAAAGAATAGAATTAGAATAGAGTGCTAGAGTTAAAGGGTCAAATAAAGATGGAAGAGATGTGTTTTAGCCGATTCTTGAAGATGGTTAAGGACTATAGGATATATATATATATATATATGATCAAGTATTTTCACATATTAACTGAGTTAGTTAAATAACATAAAATATGTTTTATTACAATGATCAAGCTTAATTAAAGTGCTGAAAGCAGCACATGTGAATGTCCATCATGTTTCTCACTGCAGTCCTGCATTTGATTTCATTTCAGGTTTTATATCCAAATCAGCTCTTACTGGGAGAAATGTGAGACAAAGATGTTTCACTGACTCATAAATGCTCATAATTCTGGTGGCGTTTGCAGTTTTAATGATCAAATCAGAGCATTAAACACAATAAAAACAACCCTGAAACAAACTGATCCAACAGCTGCTCGTGCAATTAAAATCCGTCAGTTATCAGCTAAACCTCACAGTCATTCACTGTGTTTTCTTGACGTTTGTTGATTGTGGCACTGAGTTTTAGAACTGAGGGAATGTTTGGTGATTTCCCCACAATAATCCTGATCCATCAGAGCATCTTTGAGTCGTTGTGGATCGCTTCTCAACATCTCTCTTCTTCTGAAACCTCCAAACTGAGCTTCCTCTCCTAAAGGAAGAAACCGAATAAGTTTGTCATTTTTATAGCATTTCAAGCGTAATCGCTGGTTTATTTCAGTGAAGATGTTACTGATTTCAGTAGGGAAATTCAAACAAACCTTAAAACGTAAGCCATAAAAAAAGCATATTCGTTACATGAAATAAAATAAACACTAAAATTAAAAAAAAAATTTTTGCAAAGGCTACATTTCCCATTTTTTTATTCAGCTTAACATAATATAAAATAACTAAAATTAAAGTAAAACTAAAATAAAAGGTAAAAAAAATTATATAGACATGTAAAAAATGTAATAATGTAAAAATGTAATAAAAATGATAAAAACACATCAATATTGCTAAAACTTTAATTTTAAACAATTATATATATATGAATAAAAACTGTAATATTATTTCAGTGATATATTCAGTGAAAATATCACTGGTGAAGAAACTATTTTCACAAACAATTACAAAGAAATGGCAAGTAATGCATTAAATTAAATGTGAACTTTAGAAGTAGAAAATCTGAAATAGGATTTTCTTTGTAAAACATATTTCAGTTATCTTTGTTTTATTTACAACTTCGAAAAATCTTTTTTTTTTTGTAGTAAGTCAGTCATTTGTAGGTTGATTGTGTTTCTGTGGCTCTGTTTGTTTGACATCAAAATATAGACTTTCCCTTTTCAGTCTTTGTGTTACTATTTATGTCTTGTTTTCCAGTACAAATATCTAAACATTGTTAAATCAATATACATTTACTTGAGAAGCAAAATTACATTTGATAAGTCTTGTTTTCTGAATAATGTCTCAGAATGAAGTGAGTTTGTCAATGAGGTCAGAAAAATAATCTTGTTTTCTGACCCCTAGGTACATATTTTTTCTTGTTTTAACTTTTTTTTTTCTTTTAAAAACTCTCAAAATCACACGTTTAATACAATGTGTTACTTTGTAACATTTGTAAACTTTACTAGCAACTTCTGAGTGAAAATGGTTTCAAAGTAAATCCAACAGCACATTTGTGGAGTGAGTTTAATGTGTAACTGCAGGTTTTGGGAAGTCTTGTGTTTAACAGATGTCAGATTCAGACTCAGATTCACCCGTCTATCTGTTTCTGCTCCTCTGGATCACTGCAGGACACACCGACCCTTCACTGGGTCATCAGCTCACACGCACACACACACACACACACACACACACACTCGCTCGCTCGCTCGCTCGCTCACTCACTCACTCACTCACTCTCTCACACACACACACACACTCACCACACACACACACACACACGGATGCATTCGCTGTATGATGTGCTGATGAACTGGCAGGACTGAGAATGTGAAGTGAAAGTTACTCCACTCACCGCAGGATGTCAGTATGAACACATGAGATGATCAGATGAACCTGCTCTCTCTCTCTCTCTCTCTCGCTCTCTCTCTCTGGAGTCCATGATTAATGTCTGTTGAGGATGTAGAACTCTTCAGATCCGGAAAACAGACCATAAATATCCTCTCAGTTTACAGATCTGAGACTTCTGGAACTAAACACGGGAATCAATAGCAGGTCATGTGCTCTTATGTAGGACAAACACTGTAAAACCGCAGCATTTTGGCTTGTAGTAGTTGATGTAATTGTGATATTAAACTACTAATATTAAAGTATTAGTAGAAGCTAAAGTACTTTAACATTCCGAATCGCATTGAAGAGAGAAGCTCTGTGAGCGTTGATGTGTGTGAGTGGCATGACATTGACCAATCACAGGAGTTTGGGGCGGGACTATCTGTTTGACTGGCCAATGACAGCCCAGTAGGAGGTTAGAAATAATTTTTTGTTATTTTTGTAGGTCAGTTCGATGACACACAGCTGCTTCAAGATACAGTTTATCAATTTATCTTTATAAGACCCTTGTTAGTCTCAATATAGCACTATATCAATATATAACTCTCATCTGTATGTATAATTACGGTGATATGATCATTAAAGGGTTATCTTAGTATCAATGAGATACTAATATAGTTTTTGTTCAAATTTTGAATATAGATTTTATTTTCATACTTTGCTTTCCCGTTAATTTTAAAGTTTTAGTAATTTGTGTTTTTGTTTTTCTTATTAGTTTTTTCTTTTTTTAATAACATTTTTTTATTATTATTTTATTTCAGTTTTAGTTATTTTAGTACATGAAGTTAAACTGCATGAAAATGAGAAATGCTGCCTTGGAAACAGAAATAAAATAAGGTTTTAATATTTTAATTTATTTCAGGTAACATTTATTTTATTTTAAGTAACAGAAATGTTTTTATGGTTTTAGTTTACTATAACCCTGTTTCATACAGCATTTTGTTATAATGAATTTTTTCCCTCTTGAGGTCAATTTATAATTTAAGTTTTTTTGCATCAAAAATAGTAATTTAATTTTTCATGACCATTTTGAATAAAGGCTGTTTTTGGACAGGTTTTAGACATTCTGAACGTTACAGCATGTTTTCACAGCACATCAAATGCTTTTATCTCAGAAGATGAAGGGAAATGTGATTGTTGCTCTCTGTGTTTAGGCTGGATCTGTCTCTCAGACGTGTCTGTCTTCTCCTCTGCTGATGTTCCAGGTCTTTCTGCTGCTGCCGCGTGACTCTGGCCTGATTTCTCTGCTCCTGGACTCTAAGATACACATAAACACGCCAACATCCCTACAACGTGTGCTTAAAGCAACAGTTCACCCAAAAATGCTGAAAATGTGCTGCAAATATCCTCACCCTCAAGCCATCCCAGATCAGGATGAGTTTGTTTCTTCATCAGGTTTGTAGAAATGTAGCATTGCATGAGTGTCTCAGCAATGGATGCTCTGCAGTGAATGGGTGCC